CCCCTTCCCCCCAGTGCACAAATTTTTGTGCACCGGGCCTCTAGTAGTCAATAATATTCTAATAACTATGTATGGTGTCAAATTGTGATGATCCCTTAGTAAGTTATGTAATGTCTAATCACTGGAGTATACACCCAAAACTAATATAATAATGCATTTCAACTGTGATTTAAAAATGGTTTTAAAAAATAAAGTAAAACAAAATTAAAAAGTTGATCAAGAAAAAGAAAAAACTATATTTGAGATATTGCTCCCGGGCATATGTCCTCAGTTTAGCTCAAATAAACTCATAAAAATTCTCTATATGTTTGGACATTTCTTGCACTGATACTCTTCTTTTCCCTTAAAAAAAAAAAAATGTCTTGGCCCAAGCATAATCTTCTTTTATTCTTTTGTCAATAGCTCCCCTTCCCCACCCTACTTCCTATAAAAATCTTACACTTCCTTAAAAAAAAAGCTTTCTAAAATGATCACAAACACCTTGATATGCAACAGCTATTTTAATAGTCTTTATAATATTCACAGAATTTATCGTGATGCCTTACACACACTGGGGTTAATAAATGCTTTTGAATTTAAATGAACAATTGTCACCACCATATGTAAATATGTGTACATAAACATATAAAATAAATTTTTCTTTGTTACTTTTTACTTTTAAAATAGTGTAACTACAACATTTAAAACAGGACAAGTAGAATAATACACTGTAATTCCACTTCATGAACACAATTCTTATTTGTATTTTTATTATTAAAAAACAGGCTTGACTACTATAAAAATATCTTTAATTGAAAATTCAGATGAATAGCAAAGCTAATTTTTTTTATAGAATCAGGGTAAACATCAAGGTAGGCTTCAGCTACATTTGCTACAAAAGTGGCCACTAAAATTAAGATTGTAACTTGTTTGTTCTTAGAGGAGGAATGTTATCCTTTACTCATGTATCACCAAAATTGCATATTGTTAGATGCAAAAATATTCAATGTTTATTAAACAGATGAGGGGACAGCAAACTACAGCCCACAGACAAATCACATTTGCCACCAGGTTTTGTATGAGAGCTAAGGGTTTTTACATTTTAAATGTTTGGAATTTTTCCAAAGAGTATTTTATGATCTGTGAAATTTATATGAATTATAAATTCAAGGGTCCATCAATAAAGTTTTATTATAACACAGCCATGCTTGATTCTTACGTGTTGTCTATGCTACTTTCACAATACAATGCAGAGTTGAGTAGGCTTTATGGCCTAAAAAAACAAAATTATTTACTGTCTGGCCCTTTAAAGAAAAAAAAATGCAGGTCTCTAGAATAAAACAGGTATTAGATTTATGTCTCCATTACTAGATTACAAATTCATTGAGGACAAGAGCCATGTTCTTGTTAACTATTATATCTGTAGGTCCTAGGACAGATTGTGAAACAGTGGAAATGCTCAATAAAAAGTTTTTTAAAAAAATATATACATAAAAGAATAAATGAACATTAATTTTTTACTGATTCCCAAATAAAAAGATGTTAAGATTATAAAAGCTGCAAAAATGTGATCTAGAGAGTGATAATGTAAGATTCTTCTTTCCATTTTTTGTCTTTTGCTGTTTTTCCTTAATGAAATAATCCAATTTACTGTCTACATAATGCAGCCTGACAAGTATTGAGTAATAGATTATGGTTCCCAGAGACCTTCAGAAAGGACAGCATAGACCAATTTAGGACATGTTGGTATTAAAAAATCCAGTGATTAATATAATGCTTATATTTAAAAAGAAAAAACAAATTGGGGGCTTTAGGAGGTTTTAAGGATAAACAAAAGGGGCATAGTGTTATGGGAATGGATACTTGAAGGAATAAAACAAAACAAGTTAGCCTGATTGGTATTGCTAAGTAGTTAGAGCATCAGTCCACACATCAAAGGGTCACGGGTTTGATTCCTGGCCAAGGGAATATACCTGGGTTGCAAATCCGGACCTAGTCAGGGCGCATGCAGGAGGCAACCAGTTGATGTGTATCTCTCACATGGATGTTTCTCTTTCTTTCTCTTTCTTTCCCCCTCCCTCCTTTCACTCTCTCTAAAATCAATGGGAAAAATATCTTTGGGTGAGGATTAACACACAAAAAAATGTTTAAAGCTGTTTTATTATAATAGCTCAAAATAAGAAAAAACAAAGGTGTCAGTCAATAGAGTAATGGATGAATAACCCATATAATTGCATACTGGCCAGCAATAAAAAGAAAAAAATTAAAGATACATGCTACAACATGGATGAATCAGAAAGCATTATACTAAGTGTAAAAAGCCTTATACAACAGTGTATACACTATACTGTATGAACTCATTTATATGAAGTTCTAGAAGAGGCAAATCTAACCTATGGATGTTTCAGAAATAAAAATAGTGATTGTATTGAGAGTGAAGGGCAGGAGCATGGATTGACTAGGAGGGTACATGAGGGAACTTCCCAGCATTGAGAAGAAAAATAGGGGGGCAACTCTGGGGACTTACAGCCTAGTTCAGTGTCTAGTTAAACAGTAATCTTACAAGCTGCATTCTAACTGACTTGGGCAGAGCTGCAAAGCCCACCCGAGGGGCCCACCGCAAGAAGAAGATCGAATATATATATATATCCTCCCAACATTGGCAGTTCAGGCTTTGGATGAGAATCCCCTGGACTAGCAGCGCTGCACAAGAAAGGTTTACTCTCCTGATTCCTCTGAGTGCTGACTGATCATCCTCCTGAGCCATTTGAACGGCTGCCACAACAGCATGACAGTGATGTTTCAGTTTGTTACGGATTGGTTGCACAAGTGAACACATTTGTCAGAATTTATCAAAGAGTACATGTAATATTGGTGTTTTTATATGATTTTAAGTTTTACCTCAAAAGAAAAAAGGAGAACTTGAACTCTAGTGTAGGAGCAAACAAACTTTTCTTAAAGGGCCAAATCATTTAGACTTTGTGGACCATATGGTCTCTCCAACTACTCAAATCCAAGTTAGCAGCACAAAAGCAGCCACAGACAATTTGTGAATGAATGGACCTGTTTGTGTAAAACACACACACACACACACACACACACACAAACACAAACTAATAAAAACCAACAACTTTATTTACAGAAACCAGAAAATGCCCCAAGGCCATGGTTTGTTGACTACTGCATTTAGTTAAGGATACCATGCTTTCATTTGGGGTAAAGTGATTCCTGCCATTTTCTTTGAATGCATTGAAAATATGATAGATTGAGGAATAAAGGGATGGGTAGATGAATAGCTATTTGATAAAACAAATATAGTTATTTGAATTGTATTACCTAAGTGGCAAATATATGGTTATTCACAGCAAACTTTTTCAACTTTTGCATATCTTTGAAAATGTTTATAATAAATTGCCAGAGGCAAAAATTAAACAAATAAAAAATAAGTGGACACATACACCTTGCTTATTTCATAATATACAGATTTTAGCTCCAATTTAACAATTGGTCAAAGTAGCAACAGTTTTAATATTACCATTTAAATCTGATTTTAAATACCCATAAGAAAGATGATCTTTAAAAAAAAAAGTATCATTATTGCTGAAAGTATTACAGATGTTCCCTGCCCCTCCCCCCATTGAGCCCCTCCTTCCCACCTCTGCCTTCCCCAGGCCTTCCATAAGAAAAATTATTGTTTAAAAATCAGTAATACATTGTAATCACTCTGCCCTGAGCTTTAGTAGACTTCAAATATTGACAGAGGCATGTTTTTAATGTTCTAATAGATTTTAAAATTTAGCTCTGAAAATTTATCATACATACCCTGATTGAAAATTTACAACAGAGTGAAGATTAGGTAGCATTAATCCCATTTACAGATAAGAAGCCTAGATTTAGAGATGTTACCTACACATGGTCTATCTATCTCCCCATAAATGAAGAGGAAAGAAGGCATTAGACCTCAATTCCAACCCATCAGTATAACAATCACTCTGTTTGGCACTGAGGATACAACTGTAACTAAAAAAGACAAAGTCCATGTTAGCACTTCTACTACTGAAATATTGGCTTTATTTTAATCTCTCAGCCAGGATCTTTCCACACTCTGCTAACAAGCTTCTATGCTAATATACTAATGCCAAAGAGATTCTCTTTTTTAAAAATATATTTTTATTGATTTCAAAGAGGAAGGGAGAGGAAGAGAGAGATAGAAACATCAATGATGAGAGAGAATCATTGATTGGCTGCCTCCTGCATGCTCCCCACTGGGGATCAAGCCTGCAACCTGGGCTTGTGCCCTTGATCGGAATCAAACCTGGGACCTTTCAGTCCACAGGCCGACGCTCTATCCACTAAGCCAAACCAGCTAGGCAGGATTCTTGAAATCAGTCTAGCCAAAAGCAAAACATAAAATTGATGAATTAATTTATGTAGTCTCATGTTTAAATTTCACAATTTCCATAAAGAGTCAAAATACTAGTATATAGAAAATCCTAATTATTATCTAGATACCTTTGAGATCCCATGAACTTAATTATAAGAATCCAATGTGATATTTTAGAATAATAAATATATTGAAAATAGTTACAGTATAAAGAAAATTAAACAGCATAATTATTCATATCTAATCATTAGCCAAGATTCTACTGCCATAATCAAACCCTTGACAAAAAAGAAATGAAAGAAAGAAATAAAGAAATTCCAAGTATTTACCAGATATAACACCATTGTGATCATAAAATGGAGGTGATAGACCAGTCATCCCATTTCTCTTTGTCCAACCAAGTTGCAGACTCTGATCTTGTGTCATATTACAGATCCCATCCTCAAAATCACATCTTTCATAATTTGAGCCTAATGAGAGAAAAAAATAAATTAGCTTTTACAACCCATTTGGCTTCTTAAGAAATAAGAAAATATTAGAAAAAGAAAGCTTAGCAACAAATGACAAGTTTAGATTAGCATAAGGATTATTTCTCATATTTAAGTTTACTTTATTAATGTAAAGCTTTTTTGCATATGACATTCTAATAAATCACCACACACAAAACCCAGTGAAATCAGAATT